GGACTGTATTAAAGTGTGTCTAAACAAGAGAGGTTATTCAGCCAGGCGGCGAAAGCAGTCCGCGCTTGCTTTACGCCAATTCTACACGCAACTTGTATGGCGACAAGTGGCACAGTTTTTTTGAAACATACGGCTGCAAAAAGGGATTTACAGCGAGAAATGCTACACATCCACAAGTGGCTGACTATCTGTGTTACCTAAGACAAAATAAACATTTAAAAGGCTCGACATTGTCAACATATCTCGCAGCTTTAAGTTCTGTGATAACTATGAGAATGGGTGTCAAGCTAACGAAGACGCCAGAGTTACTGGCCTTACTACGTTCATTCCGATTGGAGGATCAGAAACAGAGATTTGGCTCCAGCATGGGATCTAAAATATAGTGCTCAAACACCTCACAAGTGAGGCCTATGAACCACTGGAATCAACAACCTTTGAATTTCTGTCACAAAAACATTGTTCCTGTTATCCCTAGCAACGCAGCCAGGATGTCAGAAATTCACGACTAGATTATGAGAGAATCACGTTTTGAGGACAATCAAAACATAGTGCATATGGGACTGCGATGGGATTTTTATCGCCAAGAATCAATTGCCAGGTCAACCAGACAGATTATTCCATGTTCCTGCACTCTCCTCAATTCTCGGACCTCAAGATACGCTTGACCTATCTCTATGTCCAGTCAGAGCACTCAAAATCTATCTACAACAATCCAAAGCGAAGCGACGACAAAGCATAGCGGTTATTCATCCTTCTATCGACAGCGACTCAGACCGAAGTCTCTCGTACCACCATATCGATATGGATCAGAACTGTCATACTGCCGTGCCTACAAGGCTGCAGGACTCGACCCTCCAAGAGCATCTAATCCCCATGAAATCAGAGCACTGGCTTCCACACTTTCGCTCTACACGGAAATTGCTTTCGTTGAATACCATTATGGAGGGCTGCTTTTGGAAATCCCACATGGTGTTTGCTAACCACTATCTGAGAGATATCTCCACCGAGGACGTCTCAGGTATTCACCATTTCGGTCCCATGGTCCTCGCACAGCAGTTGACAGTCCCTCGTAGACGATGAGACATAGTCTCACGAGATTATTATGTATATATCATACCAGTATCATCTAGCTTATAACTCTACGGAGTTTTGGGCTAATTATATACATATCTTAAGTCTACATTAGTCTTAAGCCCAGTACTGATGTTTATGTACATTGGGTCGCTTCTCCACTTTGGAGTCGCTTTTTATACTATTATTACTATTATCATAGTATCTAATTAAAGTTGCGAGCAACATTGAGGGCTCCTTGGATTGGATAATTTCTAGCCATTTGGTACCTGTCATGCAGATGTTGAAAGCAGTAAAGGCTATAGCTGATATGGATCATATCACTGTCAGTAATGAGAAATACTTCAGTAGTAAACCTTGAATTCTTATGTTTTTAGGGTTAGAAACAAAGGATTGTGTTGTATGGTATTGGTAATTGCACTTATGGCTTTGGAAACAGCTGTTGGCTTGATTAGAGATTCGAAGGAAAAAGAATAATGCACGTTCAATTGCTAATAATTTATTTCTTTTTACTGAAAATGTGGTTGTTTATGGTGTTTATTTTCGGGTGAGTGTAGATACAATTTCCATTTAAATATCAACAACAGCCAAGTTGAAATGGGACACAAAGCGCCCGTACTCTGTATTTGTGTAGCATGTACCAATATCCACAACACTGTTTCTCTCACGCTGAGCTTAGTTGACACATGTCATCGGTTCCCAATAAAGGTCACATATGAAGTTTTAAAATCCATGCAAACTCCACAAGACAGAATTGATTGGCAAAAGCGCATTACTCTTCGGGAATTGCAAAGCCGGCGAGTGATTGGTGTGGAAATATTTTACTAGAGCTTCCTTCAGCTAGACCAGAGTTACCCCCCTTAGACCACAGCTACAACTTTTACTATGACCAGGAACGCTCATTCATTGACAGTCTTTAAAAGCTGCCTAAACACATACCCCTTACAAAGACTGAATTTCAATGAAGATATAACACCTCTACTGCACTGTATTTTAATTTTGTGTAACGCTCTGGGTTTTGGCACATAACACCTGTGCCATTCGATTGGACGAAAAGAATCACATGTTTATGCTCTCATCATGAACAGAAAATGATCAGCAAACGTTTGAGATACATACTGCAAAGTTTCATTGTGCTCTCTAGAGAACCAATAAAGATAGCAACTATACACTGAGGAAAATAGAATTTCACTTGTCCGTCTGTTGTCTTTGAAAATACACTTAGACATACTATTTGTTACTTCAGTTTAGCTTGTGTTTAACCCGCTCACGCTGGACAGCTCTCGTCATTGTCAATTGAAATTGACATCGTCTCCCATATCTGCACGTGGACCACGCTTTGCAGTGGTAGTCTCTTTATAGGAGATATTGTCCTTGCGCTTTCCTTCAGACTGTCGCATGCTTTGCACGGGTAATCTGCCTTGCTGTAAATGTCGATGAAACTTATGACACATTCGGCAATGTATCCCTGGGCCGTCGGTGATAAAAAGAAGTCCCTATTTTATTAAATCTGTCCAAACTTTGGGGTTTTGAGTGTAAGTATCATTTATGATGACTGGTACGATGTTAATACTCTGTTTTAGTGATTTCTGGAGTGGTGTGCCTCGAGTTTTCGGTCAGTTTGCTTGGCACTCTTTTTCTTTCATTTGGGGCTCGTCTCAAACAGTATTTTTCCTTTTACCTCCCATACGTTGTATTCACCACACGGATAATGTTGAGCACGCCGTAGCGCTTGCAGTGGACTTTGACATGCACCAAAGAACAGAAAATGTTCAGCACATGAAGTTACTGCATGCTGCCAGATTCTAGCGTGCGTAGGTGAAATAGTAATGACGCTGTGATTGTTTTGTAAATCCATGTGTGTAAGATTCAATCCAATATGGCAATAAACGACGCCGTTTTGATAAGCATCTAAGAACACAAAATGTTAAACATTATGTACGCTTATGCATTGTACCAATTTTCATGTCTTTTATGTGCAGAATCGAAGACAGCTAAGCTGTTTCTAGAGTAGTGTCACCAGAATTGGCGAAATCAATATGGCCGCCAAACGATTCACATTTTGACATGCACCAAAAACAAAACTGTTCAGCGCATCAAGTTATTGCATGCTGCCAGATTCTAGCTGCATAGTTGAAATAGTAATGACGCTGCGATTCTTTAAAGATACAGTTTAGTAAAAAATAAACAACAAAACCAAAAATCTAGATATCCGTAACTAACCTAGATATCATAGCGTAGCTCGAGGATGTTCATATTTGAGGGTACATACTCTATATGTGCAAATGTGCAAAGTTCTTGACATCATACATTCAGAGTTATGGATTGCAGAAATGCCTACCGTCAAAAACGTGAAATTTCCTTAAATCCAGTATGGCGGCCAAACTGTGCCCCGTAGCCCCATGGATCCTGCAGTTGAAATTGAAGGTAATCGTATTCCAGACCTGCTCCAGAAATTTGGTAGTCATCGGACTTGTAGTTTCGGAGATTATTGCTTTGGAAATTGAAAATTTTGAATTAATTTTGAATTATCTCCCCTTTGCTATTGGGCCTAGAGCCTTGAGATTTTTGCAGAAACAACTTCAGCACTGTCGGCACAATGGTGATTTTTTTCAAGCGATTCTGTCCAGCGGTGCTTTTTGTAGGACTGGTACAAAATATGGCGGAATAAAAAATAATAAAAACATTAACGATTCCAATAGGTCTCCTGCCTTGTGGCAAGGAGCCCTAATTATTGTAGTACCCCCATCTATGGCAGCTGGTAGAACTTATGTTTTTATAGTAGCAGGAATTATCCTAATTCAGTGCCATTATGAAGTTCCCGTAGGGGGTTATTACATATATATATAAATCACTAATTATTTAAATCCAAAGTATTCTGTTTTCCCACCTCCGTTTCCGTAGGATTCTACAAGCAAAAGAGCATGAGTCAGGATAAGGAAAAATATGTAATTTTCTGAATAAAATTGATATTTTATACTTACCCTGACTCATGAGGTAAGCCCTCCCATCCTCCCCACATAACACTTTGGATTTCCCTGTAAATTCAAGTGTTGGGCTCGCTAAAACAGGAGAGAGTGAAGCATGAGGGAAGAGGTGGCGCCTCCTTTCCCACGCATTTGGAAGAGGGAGGCAACTCTTGGTGAGTACTAATTAGTGATTTTACATTGAAGGGAGCTTCAATTAGGGAGATACAAGTGTTCCAATATGTTCGCAAGAAGAAGAAGACAAGCAAAAGAGCATGAGTCAGGATAAGTATAAAATATCAATTTTATTCAGAAAATTACATAATGATGTTCTAAATCATCAATACCAAAATTCAAGCATTATGTATAACATTATATTGAACAGCAAGTGCAACCTGTTTTTATCTGGTACAAGAAGGTTAATACCTAAGGTTGCACTGGGCACAAGCAGTTTCGTTTTTCTTAATTGAGCCCTGTCTTCGCTGAATTGTTATGGACTTTTGTTAATATGTAGTCCTGAAATGATGGGTCTGTGATGTTTTAATCCAAATACTGAGCAGAACAGGTCCCCACAGCATGAACTGATTCAGTTGCCCAGTTTGTGATCTGACTGAGTGTGTGTCAATGTGTATGAGATGACTAACAGTGTTTAGACCCAGGTGGGATTCTGGGTGAGACCTAATGGACTCGATGACCTCGTTAATAGCCTGTCATCATACCCCAACCACATGGGTTGTTGTTCACAATATAAATCACTGCATCGTCAGGTCCATACTGCTTTGTTTGAAGGCCACTGTCAAACAGCTGGAATATTTGGGCAGTGTTAGCAAACTACAAACAAATAAGTATCAGGTAGTCACAATGTGTGTCCTGACTGATACTAGTATGTCAGGCTTGACTCTTTTTTAACAACAAAAATGTCAAGCAGTATATGCATGTTACTTGAACAATCTCTTGTTTCAGCTGAACACTGTCGGTAATCCCATTGCCTACCACAGGGAACACCGAGTCCTCACCACAGGCTGCCTGTCACGGCAGGTTCTCACCACACAGGTGAGGCACACATTGACGACAGGATATTGTCTCTCACATTGTACACAATGAATGTAACCTTGGCATTCCATGTGATATGGGAGGTCACCTGTTATTTCTGATAGCTTGTAAGTTATTGTCTTGTTAATGTTCTAGATGATGTGTGATAATAGCAACTTGTCACGTGGTGTATGGCTGTCAACCTTATAGCAAGTATCCCATCTAAAGGTGCTAATGTCTAAGGTATTTGCAGGTCAACAACCTTCAGCACTGAGTGGGTTGAAATGGTTATACCAGCTGATGAAAATTAACAATGTACAATGTGATTCCTGAAATAAAAGTGATTTAGCATTTTGAAATAAAGCCATCAAAGAGAATTATTGATATATTTTTCAGTTTGAACTGGATGGAAAGAAGTTGTCAGCATCTGAAATTTCTGTAAGTATGCTCAGTGATGATGAGGAGCACATTGTCAGAGTTTTACGTCACCTGAATCCTATGGACGATGTCCACAACAGGCCTGGAATACCTTGGTGCAGACATGGGTTTACCTTGTCTAAGAGCAAAGACATTAATTCTGATCACAGTTCATCTTTAATTTGCTATTTGATTTGAATGTATTTGCTTGAAGGGATTTCCAAGTCAATACAGATCGTCACGAATCAATGCTCATTATAAGAGTTGACTGTACATAATTTATGGCTAGGGGGGGTGATGATCTTTATGGAAAAGCATGTACAGGCACATTTCTCACACACACCCACCCCCATAATTTATGTACAAAGTGACACCCACCTGCATGCCATGTGCATAATTTAGGAACCACCTTTTTGTCCTCCCCCCACCTCCCCAGAACAAAAATGGTGGACCCCCATAACATCATCTTTCACACCCCACCCCACCCCTCCTGGTCATAAATTATGAACAGTTCCTAAGCGTCTTGGGGTTACAGTGTTTACTTATATTGTTTCATTGTGCCTTGACAGTTTTGAATGTTCCTTTAAGTATTGTAAGCCACTGGATTGCTCAGCAGATTCTTGTCTGAAGAAGACTGTGTCCTTTAGCAGTGTATGAAATAAGCCAAAAACCCAGCCAGAAACCAGGGCTGGTAGCCTAAAAATGTTACCAGCCCCAAAGGAATTTAACCAGACCAGACACCATAGTATTTGGTGAATTTACTCAGATGTATGGGACATCTAAAAAAAATTACCAGACCATCGGGCTGGCTTGCTGTAAATTTTGACCGTCCGTCAGAAATCTAGCCCATCTCGGGCGGTGGGACGGGCCTTATTTCATACACTGCCTTTAGTACTGTAGACTGTAGTGATTGTCTGCACTCATCACATACTCTACATGTGTCATTTTCCTTCCACAGGCTGCACGACAACGGATGCAGTTTGTGAGTTCCTCTCGCCAACCATCCTCTCGTCGACCATCCTCTCTTGCTCACAATGTGATAACCCAAGGAAGTCATTTCCGCGACTATACAGACTCCGGAGAGTTCAGTATCAACGAGTCAGATGGTATCGCTACCTCAGTTTCTGTAGGTCCAAAGAAGAAGGGAAAGAGACGCAATAAACGGGCAAGAGAGATAGCGGACATGGATTCATCTGCTACTGAGGTTTCATCTCTGGAGGGATCTTACAGTAGGTTTAGTCCAGACAATGGCTGTGCTGTATCATAATGATGTCAATGAATAGTCACAACGTTTATTCATATTTTGAAGACGTCATAATTACTGGTGTTAATTTGACTTCATGTTGGCCGTGTGTGTGTGTTCTGGAGGCGCTGTTATATTTCAGTCTAGACACTGGGATTGTTGTTATTATCATTGTCTTTTAAATAATCAGTAGTCATAGTTGTAGTCGTAGTTGTAGTGTCGTAGTTGTAGTCGTAGTTGTAGTCGTAGTCGTAGTTGTAGTCATAGTATTAGTTGTACTAGTTGTCGTTGTAGTCATCATCGTAGTAGTAATAGTAGTCGTAGTAGTAGTAGTACTAGTTGTCAGAGTCATCATCGTAGTAGTAATAGTAGTCGTAGTAGTAGTAGTCGTAGTTGTAGTCATAGTTGTAGTAGTACTAGTTGTCGTAGTCATCATCGTAGTAGTAATAGTAGTCGTAGTAGTAGTAATAGTACTAGTTGTCGTTGTAGTCATCATCGTAGTAGTAATAGTATTTGTAGTAGTAGTAGTCGTCATAGTAGTAGTAGTTGTCGTCATCGTAGTAGTAATAGTAGTTGTAGTAGTAGTAGTGGTAGTCATAGTCGAAGTATTAGTCATAATTGTAGTAGTAGTAGTAGTAGAAGTAGTGGTAGTTGTAGATTTCAGAGGACTTGAGATGTTTGTTCTCTACTTCCTGGAGAGTATACAACCTAAGTTGTCACACCATCTCACTCTACCTGTTGTCTGCAGGAAATAAGTTTCTGCCAGTTTTTGCTTGATTTTAACAGGTGCATTGTTTGAATGACGTGATCCAAAACTGGGACTTCAGTGAACAAATTTGAGATATGTTTTAAAGATCATTCAGTTTTGTATCCCATCTCTTGTATTAAGATGGCTGGAGTTGCATTATTCACACAAATGGTGTAAAGAAGTAATATAAATCTGTATACATGATGAACATTCTCAACAGACATGAAATCATTGCCATCTATGGACACAAGTACATATTGTTTGTATACAGGTTCAACCAAGGGAGGCTACTTTGCAGACCATGTAAACACGCGGCAGACGCCGTTGAGATGCTGCGTGACCACTACGGCCCCAACTGGCTCCAGGCCATGGGCCCCCACTTCAGTGACACAGGCCGCAGTGATGCCTCCAACAGTGCAGCAAGTGACTCAGACACCACCAGCAGGGTCGTCAACAACAACACCAGCAAGAAATCTAGCAAAGACCCCACCACGAGCTCTAGTAAGGACACTAGCAAGGACTCCATGGTTACAGCCATGGTTACAGCCACAACCACGAGTCAGCCAGCTGTGGTGAGCAATGGCCTGTCTGAGAGTGTCCCCACTGCAGATGATCTGTACCTGAATGAACCAACACAGTCAGTCAGCTTGTCTCGCTCCCCACCGGACGAGAACTCAGAGATGGAGAAACAGAATCGACATGGAGGCGACCATTCAAGGGGGTCTGGTTTGAACAACAGTGAGATGGTTGCAACAGTTAGACAGGAGAGTTCAGGGTTTGAGTGGACGAGGAGTGAAGATGAAGAAATCGAATCCTATGGTAATGTCTTCCATGTCACTGCTTCTGTTTGTTGGATTTTCAGTCCAGGGTGAAATTTTATTGAATTGGTTAAAGCAGCTGATTTATGTACTTTCAGTTGAATTGCAGAGTAGTGATGTTGTCAAAGTAACATGCATGACCACTTCTTTCATGTACGGTATCCACTAAACCCCCAGAATTTGTTTCTCAGACAAATTCATGCTGCTGAGATGTATTTAAATGTTTGGCCTTACAAAACATGAGATGACTGCTTATCGGTGTTGTTGGGGGTAGTGGGGTAGCCTAATGATTAAAGCGTTTGGTCGTCATGCTGAAGACCTGGGTTCCATTTACCACGTGGGTGCTATGTGCAAACCCCATTTCTGGTGTCCTTCGCAGTGATAGTGATATCGCTAAAAAGCTTGAACACTAAACTCACTCACTCGCTCACTATCTGTGTTGTTAGATCAACTAGTCAGACCCTCATGCTAACAATGATTTCTGGCACACATTTCAGGGGAGGAAAGTGAACCATTTATTGTGTTTCTGAAGCAGAAGAGCTTTGAGCAGATGCTAGTAACTTTGAACCAGCGATACATCCTGGAAAAGAATTTAAATGGAGCGATAACAGAAAGACTTGACTTGAAATCACTGCTGTCGCTGGATCAGTCAGAAGATCGTGTAGACCATGAGGATGTGATGGGAAACATTTTGATGCCTCATCTGCAGCTGACGTTCGATTATGTGAGGAAAGACAGACGCGAGAGAGTTTATGTCATGGAAAATGAAGAAAGTGCACAGGTGAATACTGTTATAATGAACTTGATGCATAATATAAGTTATCATGACTGTTGAGAAGAGACAATAGGGCTGAGGTTCCTCATAGTGCAGTGTTAGGTTGTCTCCCTTAGTAACACAAGGATCTGCCATTTGTTGGCTTCAGTCACTGATTTTTCTGTCAATCCTTGGTCTGGTGGCATTGTTGTCATTGTGACTTTTTCATGAAATATTTAGGGTAAATAGTTTTGTCTTATCATCTATATGATTTAACCCTATGAACATGAATGATGAAGCTCTATTTAGCAAGATTAAATTTGTTGTTCAACTAAATGTGAACATAATAAAATATTTGAGTAAACTACTGCTTCAATCCCATTATAATTAGATCTTATCAAAATGTTTTTCACAGCATAGTGTGGAATTGAAGTCAGCATTTTAAAACTAGTGTGGGGTATCCCAGTGGTTAACTCCTTCGGCCTTTGATTCACTAAGTAGATGCAATGTTTGAAGCCCATTTCTGGTGTCCCACAATGAATGCTGGAATCTGGCTATCAGCCTAGTAAAACAATTCTCACTCACTGCTTTCATGACTAAGGCTTTATTGTTTTCAGAAAATGTGTGATTTTCTTCAACCATTCTTGTATGAGAGGGAACTTAAATCACTGCCAAAGTTTGTCTATCAGGTAAGTGTTCATGGAGGATTTCATTCTGGAAGTAAAAGTGGTGTTGGTTTGAAACATTTTCATCACCAACGTCAAATGAAAATTGAATATGTTGAATGTTGAATAAATTAACTGCACATTTTGTAACAATAACCTTATCAAGAAATGCTAAGAGATCTTAGATGAAAGGAAATGAATATTCTTAAACATATGCTTATGATATTTTCCTAATTAAAGAACGTATGGAACATTTGGTACAAGGTCACAAAGTCAAACATTATGAAGCATATGGTAGTTTGTAAACAAAAGCCAATATTCTCCAGTTTTATCAGCTCTGCTCCCATGTGACCAGTGACTGCTGCACAAGCGTTGCTTGAGACAAAACTTTTCTGTTGTTGGTAAATAAATGCGCCTATTCTGAAATAAGAACAGATTGGCCTAATACAAGCCTTTAAATGTGCTGTACATATTATGTAAATCATCAAGAACTTTCGACGTCCTGGCCCTTTAACTTACGGCTTGCACCGAATACTTGTGGTTTTGAAGTGCCTGAAATGTTGCAGCACAACTTCAGTGGTGAAAAAGGAAACCTCTGTCCAACCAAAGCGTCCTTGCCTAGAGTGGGATCCAGCAAGGTCTTGCTTTCCTGAGCCAGGGTAAGAAAAAATTATTCTCAGTGACAGTGTCTATTGGTTTTAATACCCCTCCTTAATGTCAGTTATGTATTTGGACTTATTTTCACAGAAAGGGTACTATGAAAACTGGCAATAAAAGAAGTTGTTATCCATAAAGTTTGTGTATTATTGTACCTCCCAACTTCTAAACTGCCACTCAAAGAAGGGCATTGAGGAGAACAGTGACGTTTCATGTCTCCTGTGTGATTTGACTGGACTTATCGACAGCCATGTAATATACTCAGTCGTATAGTAATCAGTGTTGTGTGAAAGTAAGTTAATTAACATTGCAACATTTTTCCCAATGTTAATGCTACCCATGAAGATCCGGTTTACAATTGGTCTTCAGTAACCCATGCTTATTGTAAACAGTGACTAACGTTTTTCATTCTCACTGACTTGGTTGACACGTCATCTTATCCCAATTGCATGGATCGATGCTCATGATGTTGATCACTGGATTGTCTGGTTCAGACTCAATTATTTACAGACCACTGCCATATAGCTGGAATATTGCTACAAACCAACCAGCCAACCAATTTGCATGCCACACGTATTTGATTAATATTAGTTCCACATGTAATGATTGTGTCCTCCAGTGAGTGTGATGTACCAGTGCCCCAAGTGTGGGAGTGACCATGTGATCCAAGTGGAGAAGACGGTGGACTCCCAGCCATCCTCAGCGCTGTCCACTCCTGTGGGGTCCTACTCCAGTTCCAGTGGCAGCTACCTCAGTCCAGGCCGGGGGCAGCGCTCAGAGTAAGAACTTGACACAATATTTTATCAATGACCTGCTGGACATATTTCTTTTGAACTAAATACAGTAGAACAAGGTTATAGCGAACACGGATATAGCGTACAAACGGATATAGCGAACAAATTTAAAAGTCCCGTCAACAGTCCTTTATAATATCATTAAAATTATACGCGAATAACGCACTCGTGAGTAGCGAATTAACGGCTATAGCGAACTGATTTACTACCCCCAAGCCCAACTAACGACGTGATTAGCGAACTCACTCAGTGTCAGCTCAGCCACTTAGCGGTATACATCAACCTTGTTGGCGGCGACTCAACATTGTTCGATGGTCATTAGCGTGTTTATCAAAACAAACATGTCGTGTTTAAAAGCTTGACTGGTATACAGGTCTTCAGTGCACTCTCGTCACTATGGCAGGCAAACGTAAAGCCATCACTTTTGACACCAAGCTTCAGATAATTCAGGCTGTAGATTCTACATCTCTACAATCCAAGATGGCGGTCAAATGTGAATAACGAACACCGGATATAGCGAACTAAATTTCGTGGTCCCTTGGAGTTCGTTATATCCGTGTTCTACTGTAGTTTCAAGTTGAAAACTTTGCTAAAATCTTGTTGGAAGGGTGGAATAAACAATTTTATTGGAATTTTGCATTGAAGAGTTCTCTCCCTTTGCTAATTAGTCTGCAAAGACGTTTTATGTATCTACTGAAATTTACAATTCTTAATAATATTCCATAGTTATTAACTTTGGCTCTGGGGATTTGCTACCCATGAAATGAAATGACCAATGCTTACATAAATGTTTGAATCAATAAGATCAACCTTCCTTTGATAATTCACATATTGGTCTACCCCTAGTCATAGTGGTCTCAAGGTTTATTCAACCTTTGTACAGTATTTCTTAAGTAAGAAATAAATCATAAGATAAGTAAACTGCAATCTGTATCTTGCTATTTTTTAAGATTGTAACCTTTTTTCAGCTCTCAAGGATTTGTACCTAGTCCTTTGGCAAAATCTACCCCTCGGAAACCACAGATATCAACGAATGTTGGTGAGCAAGTGCAGAATGTGCGGCGAAATCTGTACTCCGATAACCAGCAACTGGATGCTGCAGCCAGACCAAGGAGCAACGCATTTGTTGAAAACACTGAAACACCCAGGACGAAATCCAGTAGTTTAGAATCTCACATAGAATCGGTGACGACTCCCATAGAGAACAAAGCATTCAGACGGCAGTCCTGGTCGGATATGGATCACGGCTTAATGAACAAAGTGTCTTATCCCCGTTATCGCATCTCAGGACAGTGATATTACAATATTGACTAACCCCAGCGAGGGCAGTATAGCGGTTATATCCGAGTCAAGTTGTGAGACTTTGTCAGCACTCACACCAGTGGAGGATAAGAAGAGCATACAGGAAGTGTTGGTGGAAGAGGTCAGCGAGAAGGAAGAAGTGAGGGGAAATGTTTTCAAGGAGGAGGTGAAGGGGAATGTTTTCAAGGAGGAGGTGATGGTCAGAAGTGCCTCAGAACCTAAACAGTTACATATTCCTTCTGAACAAACTGATGTTGGCTTCGATAAGGATATCACACCCATGGGATCGCCGTTGTCCAACAGTATTTGTAGCAGCATGGTGTCGAGTGTTTATCAAAACTCGGGACTCGATGGCACCAAGGAAGACTCCAAGAGTGAAAGTAGTCCCTCTAGAGTGAGTGAGGTGGTGCCAGGGAGTGATGGAACTGATACACCCAGTATATATGACAGTGGCATTGCATCCAGTATTGGGAAAGACAAACGGACTAGCTTCCATGATAAGAGTGATAGTGCGTCTGACATCAATGTGATCGTGACGGAGGGGCAAGACGTGGAGCTGGTGGAGGAAGTGGTGGAGGTGGTTCAGACAAGGGAGAGGTCCCATGCAGTGTATGAACATCCCTTTACCCATGTCGACCACCACCTCAAGCTGCACCTCATGATGAACGTGTTTGATGACAACGAGGAATTCGAGTGTATATTGAAGGTAGTTCTTTATTATGTGTAGAATACTCATAAAGATAAGTAAAATGTGCAGCTTTGATTTTTATAGCTGGTCAGACCGTACAGATGGTGTAGAGGACAGGTATTCTCATATTTTGGTGTGATAGTTACTTGCTAGGTTAACTGGAAATAAGTCCGTAACAACTCCATGTGAACAACAAACAACAAAGCAGTGTGATATAATTAGCAGTTGTGTTTAAGAAATAAGTAAGTTTACAAGTCAATACAAACCACTACAAAGGAATTACAGTATTTACAGTACTAAGTAGAGTAGCAATACAAATTCAAAGGCAGCAAAATAATAACCCATTTCTGGTGTCCCCTGCCGTGATGTTGCTGGAATATTGCTAAAAGCGGCGTAAAACTAAATTCAGTCAGTCAGTCATGTCAGTGTATATTTCAGTGATATGTGTGTCTGTCAGTATATCCTCTTTAGGAGTGTATTTCTTTGCCTGTTGAGAATTCATGTCATATTCTATGGCAGTGTAGCACCAGTCAATGATTCATGTCAGTATGTATTTCAGTATGATGCCCATCATGCAGTACCTTTCATTGTAAGGGTTTAGGGGCATGGTGGGCGAGCTGTCTAAGGCGCCAGGCTACTGATCCAGCGAGCGTGGAGGTGCCAGGATCAAGCCCACCTATGACCGAGTGTAAAAACCTTGTAGTCAACTTTGTGTGCAGACTCATTCAGTGTTATCACAACCCCTAGTGTACAGTACACAACCCTGTACACTTTAAAGAACCCATGAATCCGTTGGTAAATGACCAGATGGTGGCCAAATGAATACGTGCAAACACCTAGTTGCGGGTACAGCAACGTGCAGTAAATTTGGACAAAGTACTGTGACTATGTGTTCCAGCCCACCCAGCTGTGAATGGGTACCTCGAAAGGATGGGAAAGTCACATTAACTCGGTGCACCTAGTGGCTGCAAGAGTTGTATGTTTCCAAGGGAGTTGAGATTGATAATATGATGTGTTGCTGAGATTAACATCCAATGATCAAGGGAAAAACAAAGAAGTGCTTTGAGCATGCATGTGGGATGGACTACAGCGCTATATAAATACCCATATAATAATAATAACAACAATATCCCATGCTGTGTATACTTTCAGTGTGATGCCTGTCAATATCTGGTGGAGGAGGAGTTCAGAGCTATTCTGGTGATGACAGCAACCAAGTTTTATGTGTTTAAAGTGGCAGCCGATACATCCAGGTTTGTGATGCATGTCATCGGCAGGCATTTTGTGTTCATCCAACATACTTTGGAAGACTAGGTTAAATATTTGCTTCAGGAAGTATTGGAACAAATTAGTTTTGCTACATGTTTGTAATATCAGCAGCTGTTTATTGCAACGAGACTGCACCAGGCTGATGAAGATACTTTGGAGATTTTATGTACTTTCTGACATAATGTGTATTTGGCATACATGCCCACCAGGCCATTTAGTGTAGGATCAAGGGAGGGGTGCGTGACTAAATGAGAGAGCATCTGGGAGGGAGCATCAGAGTTAGGTATTTAGTTTTGGTTGAAATTTAGAATTTGAACTTTTGCCAGAGGTGGAATGTAATGCGGGAGGATATAGTCGACGCCTGGTCCGTCTGTCCGTAATCATTTCGTTTCCGGATCATAGCTCAAAAACTGTTCGATATTTTTCCATATATATATATATATCATATAAACAGAACTTAAAGTGGTGCTTTTGCTATTTGCAGATTTTTTATCCCCCACAACGTGTTTTGCAGGGGGTATTAAAATGGACTCCGTCCGTTCGTGTGTCCGTCCATCCGTGCACTTTTGTCTTTTCCGGAGCAGAACTCTAAAACGTTCACTATTTCTTCACCAAACTTGGCACATAGATAGATCTGGTGGTGTACTGGTGCCTTTTGGTAGTTTTGGAATTCTGAATAAAATATTGTTGGCGTTTCCATGGCAACAAGTTTGACTTAGACTGAAATTGGAGGTAGTGCTCTTTTCCTGAGCAGAACTTTAAAAACCTTTCAATACTCTCCTTCCATTTGTCTATATACACACCTAAATATTTGACATAATCATAACTCGTAAACATAATGATTGAGAGTATTTTGCCATTGCGGGGGATATTGATGACTTTGTCTTCTTGTTGCATTTTTATTTTCCATGGAAACGATGGTGACTTAGTCCAAAAAGGATAGGTGGGCTTCGTTCCCGGAGCACAACTTGAAAACCTTTCAATATCTTTCAACAAAACTTGGAAGATATATGAGGCAGATCCCAAAGAGGTGCCATTTGCTATTTGCAGATTTTTGGCAGTTTTATTTTTCCCGGTTTGCGTAGAAATGATTCGGACTTAGTCTCAAAAAGGAGGGGTGGACTTCGTTTCCAGAGCACAACTCATAAACCGTTCAGTATCTTTCAAGATAACTTGGCAGATATATGAGACAGATCCCAAAGTGGTGCCTTTTGCTATTTGCAGATATTTGCCTTTTTTAATTCTATTGGTTTCCATGGAAACGATTAGGACTTAGTCTAAAAAAAAAATCAAGTTTTACTAAAGTAACTGTCAGATAATTTGTTCTTCAAATGTTTGGGGGCCAGGGGAATTTCTCACCTTCTGATGACTCTTGTTGCATGGAGACAGTATCATAATGTGATGTTGCTGATTATATAGCGGCTGTTTATTGCATTGAGACAGTATCATCATGTGATGTTGCTGATTATATAGTGGTTGTTTATTGCATTGAGACAGTATCATAATGTGATGTTGCTGATTATATAGTGGTTGTTTATTGCAGTGAGACAGTATCTTAATGTGATGTTGCTGATTATATAGCGGCTGTTTATTGCATTGAGACAGTATCATCATGTGATGTTGCTGATTATATAGTGGTTGTTAATTGCATTGAGACAGTATCATAATGTGATGTTGCTGATTATATAGCGGCTGTTTATTGCATTGAGACAGTATCATAATGTAATGTTGCTTATTATATAGTGGTTGTTAATTGCATTGAGACAGTATCATAATGTGATGTTGCTGATTATATAGCGGCTGTTTATTGCATTGAGACAATATCATTATGTGATGTTGCTGATTATATAGTGGTTGTTTATTGCATTGAGACAGTATCATAATGTGATGTTGCTGATTATATAGCGGCTGTTTATTGCAGTGAGACAGTATCAGACTGGTTGACCACGGTGGACATCCAGCCCGTCACAGAGCTCCAGTACGTGGACATGGGTCTGGGGTGTCAGTGTTTCCGTATGGAGTTCGACACTGAGTGTTCCTGCTATACATTCATGATGAGGGATGCTGACCAGTGTAACAGCTTCGTCACCTTCCTGTCAGGTTGGTACTGCCTGTATTCATACCTGGTGTTGTTTGACTGTTAAAACTGATTCTGAGCACTCTTGTCTGTGGTCGTATGTTAGTGATGTTGTAGTTTGTAGCAGGAACCAGTCACAAGCAAATCCTTGAAACATATCAGTAACATTTTAGTTTGAATGTATGTTCTAGAAAAGATGTTAAGAAGTGAGTTTGAACTGGTATTTATTCTTGAATCTATGATGTGGCTGAATAAAATCCAAATTATTACAAGACTTGCATATTTTTACCTATGGTATATGCCTGTACCAGTGACACAGAACCGATAAGGATGGTGTTGTTTGCAGAGTTGCTGCAGAAGAATGTACTGAGTATGCACAACAAGATCAAGGCTGAGTTCCAGCTCAAACCGGCCAAATCCACAATGGCCGACATTCTCAGGGAAGTGTTGTCACGGAAATCTGAGGAGGAGGCACTTGAGCTGTACCTCATGGGGTACATGGTGAGAGGTGAGGAGGACACCATCAGTTGCATGTGTTGTCATGGTCGATGGTCCAGTTGTACTATCATATGGAAGTCGGTCCTGCAAAATAATCCTGTTATTATACTTTCTGGTTATTGAAAGCATGCATTGCACTGATGCAACCTGAAACTGCAACAAGATACCTCATACATTACACCCATTGCATGTTAAGATTTTGCTGTTTAAAGAACACAGATGTGGGTTAGACCCACAGGAACCCGTTATCGGCATGTAGGTTAAACATAGACCATAGATCTACGCGCACTTCACAAACAAATCAAGACATCAAGATGTGACGTGCGTGTAGATCTATGGTCTATGTTTAACCTACATGCCGATAACGGGTTCCTGTGGTTAGACCGCGGACTTTATCTGCTGGTGATTAGATGCCAGACTCTGAGGTTGTGGGTTCGAATCAACATAACAACAGTACCAGAATCTGAACTTTACTGACAATGTGTAATCCCAATATATAATATGTTACATTAATCTTGATGTCTTGATTTGTTTGTGAAGTGTTTTACTCAAGAAACTCTCTGATTCTTGAAGGTCGCAATCCGAGCTATCCAGTGAGTTTTGTGTTGAGCAACCGGTCAGTGTGCCTGGTGAAGGAGAGTCACCAGTGGCCACAGCCTCGTCTCCAGGCGCCGCTAGCCGCAGACTCCGTGGCCAAACACTTCACGGTGCTGGAGAGACAGCCCATCAACAACATTGCCACTGTGGTATGTAACAGATGGTTCAGAATCAGATATAAATGACGTTGTATTTCCTTTAGAAATACTCAACTTCGATATCCTTGAAATATGTGCTTGTTTGACAATCTTCATAAGCTCACCTTAGATTGAGAGCTTTGTCTTTTAAATTCTCCCTACTCTTTCAAGAGAGTTTATCCTCCATGTTTTATAAGGGCAGTAGCAACCTACTGGTTAAAGTACAATGGGCAGGTACAACAATTCCAAACAAGATAGATTATAGCACCGTTAATGCAGTGCTGTTTTTCAAGCATAAGATAGTCAGTTTCAAAGAATTATACAAAATTACAGTTCCATATATGGTCACTTTTGGAGATAGCACAACAAACATACAGTCTGTTACCCTACTTAGTCATCTGCAAACATGTCTTTGCTAATGGAGTCAACATAACAACAGATTTTAATTCTTAAGAGAATTCTAGGAGACATGTGCTTGACCCAAATCAAGTTTTAAAAAAGGAAATGAAAAAAGAGAGCATAAAAAAGAGACATGAAGAATCTTCCCAAAGAAACATATCTGACACTAAGTTTAAAATGAGTGCCTGTTGTTGATGAGTGCCTGATCTTCTGTATAGTTTTGACGACCTCACTATGCCCAGGTTACCATGGTTCTGCCGAGGATTTCTAGCATTACCCTGCTTCTGTCTGCTTATATCAACCTGTAGTGTTTCAGTAACGACACAGAGTTGTTTAGTCCAGAGATTGATCCCGGACTGGAGTTCATTGTATGGAATCATGAAGTGACAGATTGACTATTGTAATATGAAAGAATCTGGTGGTCCTTCACATCATTCAGTAGTACAAGGATTAGCTATATGCCTGTATAGATTTCAGGACAGACTAGATTAATGAGCCAGATACTTGTAATGTGAATGGACAACATTGGGGCTGGTGAGTTCAAGTGCACATAGATGTATATGGGATGAGCAACACTAACGCTGAAATGAGACTGTTTCCATATTGACATGCTGATTATTTGTAATCCAGGAAATAGTTGAGATGGACAAGAGACAAATGAGGCTTTCCTTCTTCAATGAACACACTGGTCTGGAGACCAAGTGGCAGATCACCATGGAAACGACAAACGGTGTACAGTCATTAGTGAACGGAATCCGGCAGCCGTGGGAGGAAGAGTTTGGTGTGGAGCTGGATGTCACCATGGTGCCTTTCACAGACTCTGAGAACGAGGAGGACTAAGGCGTTGTGGTCAGACAATCATACCATGGCGTGATAAGAAGAATTAACTCTTTGACCTGCCAACTCAATCATGACTGAGGGTCTTTGACATCAGAAGCACAACCCGATCCTTTTCTCAAAGAAAATACCACTGCGTTGTCTTTTGCATTGTGGATAAGGAAATCTTAGCAAAGTTGATTTAAAATCCCAGATAGGTGTTAAATTATCCTCAACCATGTTGCAATATTATTGGAACTAGTACCGTTACACACTGTCTGTAATTATTTCAGAGGTGTTCTACAGATAGCAGATGGAATTAATTCTCTGTTGTTGTTTATCCATTCCGAACAAAACCTATAAAGGATAATCATTCAGAAATGATAAATCGTAGCAGGGACATATGTGGTCCCCCTCAACTATACTCCCCATCAAAAGTTTAGACTCACTAGTGTAAATGTAGCGATTTAGGGACCGTTCATAATTTATGGGGGTGGAGGTGATGATTTTAAAGGGGGTCACCCATTTTGTTCTGGGGGGTCATCAATTTTATACACAAGTTTCTGTGGGGGCCAGCAATTTTGTACAAAAAAATATTTAAAAATTATGCTTTAAAAATATGGAAAGAGGGAGGGGGGTCATTGACTTTGTACATGACAAGCAGGGGGGTCACTTACTTTGTGCATAATTTTAGGGGGGGTCATTCACATTGTACATGCTTCTCCATAAAAATCATCATCACCCACCCTAGCCATAAATTATGAACGGTCCCTTACTTCAGTCAACTGTTCTGAACTAGATTTTGTAAAATAATCCATACAGTTTAAAGGTACTGTTCATACATGAGCTGATGTATTGTAAAACAAATTCGTGACGTTGAAAAGTTTATTGTCATGTGTTCAATAAATGATGAAACTCGGTGAAAAATGGCGAATTTTTTATCAAAACTTTACACCAAAACGCAGCTGTTCACATGCACAATATTTGCACATGCTTTTCAGCAATTTGATGCATGATCCATGAGCAATTAATCTGCATAAGGTTTTCAGATGTTTCCCCCATATTAGTGGAGAAATTCATCTTCTTGTAACCATATGTACATACATAACTTATAGTGATTGATTTAAGCGAGTCTAAACTGTTGATGGGTAGTATATATGACAATCTTATGATGCTCCTAATACTCATGTAATCTTAGTAATGTTCTTGTTAAGATTTGAGCCTGTTGTCAGTGTGGAACACAGTATGTCAGTGCATACTGACTGCATGCCCATAGGTATAGCCTGTAACTGCTCCACAGCCCAGTTTACATCTCCAGGCAGTATAGAACAATGCATTCACAGCATGATGTTTTGTTGACCTTGTTAGAACCAGGATCGCTTTGTGGAGCAAGGCCCTGGATTTGGGCTGATGACAAATGGGTGTATATCTTCAGGTGGTTAATGGCAATGGTGCATTTATTAGTGGGAAATTATTGTTGGAATTTGAGGGATATTATAGTGACCATGTGGATAATTTTCTCATTTTATAATTTGGTTGCTCAGTGAAAAGCAGTGATTTTACAATATACCCTAACAAAACCATGTGATGTGTGATAAGTGGCATGAAAACAGAAGTGAAGGAAGAAAGGGGGATACAGAAACGGACATAGATGCAATATTGTACAGATACTCTTTGTCTTATTAATGTGATGATAATTTGACCTGCTCAATGTGTAGTTAGATGTGGTCTCATTATACAGGTTATCTCCAGTTTTATGTTACCAGGTGTAACTGGTTGCTATGGCAACTAGCAAACAGATATGTACATAACCAGATTTGGGACAACCATGACAGGTTACTGGTACAAAATCCATATTTATCATATATAATCAGTGAGGTAATGAGGTCTTTGAATTATTTGCATATTATCAGAGGCGTGTTCAGAACCGAGAGCGGCCGAGCGATTGCCTCCCGATAGCGCTCGCATCAGATCTGAACGGACGCGAGCGCTTGGTTACAATAAACCATTCATGACCAACTCGTGTTGTTTCGGGACAAGCCGAATAGCTTCTTTATTATATTCTTAAGGGTGAAATACTGTAAATATTGGTGAAAATAAAAATGGTATTGTCACTGAGTAGAATATCACTTTTGCCTGGAACTACGAAATGATCGATAAACAATGATCAAAATATAATAAATAGAATATTTTGTTAATGTTGTCAATGGTTACGCCACTCGTGAACATATCAACTTTTTCAGACCACTCGATGACATATACATGTTATTTGACAACATTAACAAAATATCCTCCATGTCTTCTTTTTGGAGGTTACGGAAATCTGGTCTGACGAATGACATTAAACATGAGGCGCCATCTTTGTTAAGCTTGGTGAGGCAGCTGTGAGAATGGTTTTGTGTGAAGCGCTCGAGCGGGCACAGGCGTTCAGGATCGAGCGCTCGCGGTTCTGAACACGCCTCAGCTGTCATGCATTCCCTGGGTTTCTCCAGTTTTCATAACTTTCTATTGGCTCACTGGATTGGAAGCTGTTATGCAAAGTTACATTCCTTAGACATGCCAGAATGCTTAAATTTGGGTCAGTAAATCTCAGATGTATTTGATCATGTTTTCAGGTTTGTCAGCGCCAATGTAGGCTGCTCTCGCCAAAGTGGTAAATGTCCAAGACATGCATTTCTCTGGTGGTTCCTACCACATTAGGCTGACTGGCTGTAATTCAAAGCAGAAATATTCTGAAGTCTCGCATTTGTTGACCATTACATTATGTTGACATGGTTCCAGAAAGCAACATTATTACTGTCAATTCAGCATCACGAACGTTACCTTAAATACTTGTTAGCTGACTATAATGTTGAGATTAGGCTGTAGTTATATATATACTAGTATTCAGTGTAAGCTGATTTCACTAGAGTTGTGTCCCTTAGCTCCTCACAGGATCTGCTTGTCATTGGTTCAGTTTGAAATGCCAGATTTGGCCTGATTGTGATAGTTGTAGAACATAAGCAGTAACCATGTTTTAGACTTTCACAGATAACAGTGTCATCATGATTTAAACCGGTGTAGAGAAGGGATGATTTATTTTTTATACAGTGATGAAACAATGAATGCCTCATGTTTTGCCCAAAACAAATTTTATCTTTTGACAAGTTTGAAGTTTGAAAGCGAGATGAATGCATAATTTCCCAAAGGATAATTTGTTTTGAAGTGAGAAAATGTTACTTGTTTTAGCAGTTGAAGACACAGGTGTATATCATGTATGCAATAACACTTCCAGTCAGTTTTAAGGAGAGAATTGTTTGATTGTTATGGTTTTGGTGGAGAACACTAAACATTTGTGTAAATGCAATACGTCACATATGTGCTTAGTGTCATGAAACAGGCACATGATCAACACAACTTGATTTCATGTGTGGTTAATGTTGGCTTCTTTTTACAGTCAGGCAGTGATACAATGATTAAACTTCATTGTGTCCGGCATACTTAATAACTTGCCTTACTGTACTCTGAACCTTTAATGTGAATTGTGCAGATTGATTGTTTTTATTGTTATTTATAGTACAATTGTTTATTTTATTACCTGTACAGTGATATGCTATGTGTGTATATAACAGGCTTGTAAAGTATTGCTTGTCTTGACACATGTATTTATTTCATGAATAAAGATGTTGATTATTTCCCTTTGTTTTCTCCATCTTGTTTCATAGGGAGAATTACATAAAGACATGGACAGACTCCATGGTTACAAGATCTTGCGTATATAGAAATAATCTGCTGACTGAAACGGTCATTGCACATTGCATCACATCTTCCTGGTGGTTCAATTCTCAATCAAAAGATGTTAATAGGTGATGTTGCTTCTTTTACTTATACTATGCCTTAAAACAATGACTGGACAGCTTGTATTAGGAGCACACGCACACACACACACAAGCACAAACATACATGCTCAAACACACATACACGCGCAAATGCAAGGGAAACTTTCATTCATATAAGATGCTGAGTAAATGTGTGCCTTAACTTTCTTGAGTGGCATTTAGGAAGTTTGGAAGTGAATTACTGACAAATGTATGGATAACATCTAAATATATTTTGTGAGTGCTACATTTCGATACAGATTCTTGTACCATTGTCTGGCAGTATTTATCCATTTAGAGTCAAAGGATGATTTAGAGATAATCTGCTGATTGACATGGGTATTGCATCACATCTTCCCGGTTCGATTCACGGCCAGAAGATGTTAATAGATGTTGCTTCTTTTTATCCAGACTTACACTGCGCATTAAGACAATGACTGGACAGCTTTGATTTGGAGCACACACATACACACACAAATGCAAGCACAGAAAACACATACAAAGGCAAGCACATATGCACACAAACACGGTAAATATCTTTGGACACAGCCTTAAACTCCACTTCACCGTACTTTCATTCAAATACAAAGATGTTAAGTAAATGTGTACCTTAACTTTCTTAAGTGGCATTTGAAAAGTTGGGAGGTAAAATACTGACACATTTATGGTTAATCTTCATTTATTTTGTCATGGCTACGTTTCAGTACAGATTCCTGTATCGTTGTTTAGAAGGATTTATCCATTTAGAGTCAAAGGATAATTTAGATCAGTTCTTTTACTGTGGTTAAGAACGGATTAACATTACGTATTAAAAGACGCCAATGTTATGATAGGGAATGAATGAATGAATGAACGAACGAATGAATATAACTATAAGAATCGGGGAGTCAAAACATTGAAATGAATTAATCAATACCTACAAGCAAATAACGTATGATCTGCATCTTGTGATGCTACAGATAGAGCAGTGACGTCAGCTGCCGTCGGCTTATTGTGTTTGCGTTGATACTTAGGAGCTGAGGTTATGTGACTCACCTCACCATTTCTGTTAGATACCTAATGCCAGCAGCACGTTGTGTCACTACTCTGACACATTTGCCTGTGCAATCTACATGTTTCAGATATTGATTATGGCGAAGTATATCAAAACGTTTCCCGCAGATGATATTTCTTCAGGGCCCAATCCACACAGTGTTGGTACTGTGTTCGTCAACCTCTAAAAATGTCTGTGCTAGAGTTAGGATAGCTTTTAACCCTACGAACGAATTGTGGATTGGACGGACCCCGACTTTCACAGATTTGTGGAGTACTACATCGTCACACTTTTCTTCACACACACATATATATACTCTTCCACAACTTATAACAACAACATTTCTGGTTGACTACACACTTACGTTTTGTGTAATTTATGTTTTGCCTACATGAAATATGCACGAATTTAGATTTATTAAATAACTGCTCTCTTCTCTACTAAAATCTCTACTCTGCTAAGTCAGGCGATGTATCAGTATCTGTTGTTTCAGTTCAGTGCACTTCCCGGGATATCCTATTACCTAAAAAGGGGTGATGAGGTGTTGTTGTTTTAACAATGCGTGGTAGTTTTGGGATATAACCAATCAAGACGGA